TGCTCTCTTCAAACTGTAAATAATAAATGATCCTGAGAGAATATTCAGTGTGTTAATGATTTCCCTGCTGTACTGTTAGCTCTTTAAAAGAGAGGAAGGGCGATTCTTTTTTAATTTCCATTTCGCTGACACCGCTTTAGTAGAAATCTCCCTTTAGTCGTTTTCGTCGACAAAACGAATAGCAATATCGCTCTCCGTGTCCTCCGCCATTTTTTCAGCGTCAATTCGTGAAGGACGCGTGGCTCTGAGCGTGGGTCATCCACGCGGAACACATTCGCGCTATGTGATTGGCTGTTGTCTAATCCCCCTTGGGATCTGTCGTCTTAAAAATAACTCGAGACGAATTACGTATGGAATAGGGTGTGTATGGGGGATGCCTTCTCTGTCCCCTTTATCCTCTCTTGCCTTTGTCAAGAGAGAATGCCTTTTTAATAACTGAGCATAATCCGATTACAATCTTTTTGTTATCCAATTAAAGGATGTGGTCGTACTCCCAAGGCAAATTTCTCCTTTTAAAAACACTCAAATATTTTTTGAAATCGTGCTCTTGTGCTTAAACTTAAAAACCGAGGAAAATTTCAAAACAGTCAAATCCAATAAGGTTTGCCCTGAACTTTTCCCTAGCTATTCTACAGAAACGTGGAAAATAGCTACCTACAGAACAATCGATAAAAAGCTTGATACACTAAGCTTGCAATGCTACAAAAATAGTTGAAAATCTGCCACATCGAAGAAACATCGACACTGCACGGCTTCTCCTAATTTGCCAGATTTCTGGCTGTGAACTATTTGAAAAGGAAGTCTACGGTTTGCTGCCCCGTTACTGATCCTGTTGTACGTACGATAATTCATAAAATAAAAAAAATCGTCACAGCCTCGTGACAAACAAGTATGTCTCGCAAGGCTGTTATATCAAAGTTTAGAACTGAACAAAACTGTGAAAAACTGAAAGACCGAAAGGTTTTCAAAAAACGCACCCTCAATTTTGTCCATCTGTGCCTTTTTTGATTTTGCTGCTTTCCTTCTCTTGTGTTGAGATACTCTTTCAGTTATTTTATATTTTTCTCAATTTTGTTTTTTTTTGTCTTTCATAATGGCTAAATTTGGCCAAATTTGGCTAGTCATTTCCGTATCACTTCGCCCCCCTTTTTCGTGTGCAAAGAAAGTATATTCGAACTTACAAGAAAAAGAATCGGGATAGGTAACTTAAAGTCTTTAGGGACTTGTCAGAAATTAGCAGGGGGGGAGGGGGGGTGGGAATTTTAAATTTGGGTTCGGAAATTAGGTGACCCATCCATCCAATGGGCGTGAAATTTGCTAACCCTCCCCTGGAGCTTGGCCTAAAATATCATTCTCTTGTGTTGAGATACTCTTTCAGTTATTTTATATTTTTCTCAATTTTGTTTTTTTTTGTCTTTCATAATGGCTAAATTTGGCCAAATTTGGCTAGTCATTTCCGTATCACTTCGCCCCCCTTTTTCGTGTGCAAAGAAAGTATATTCGAACTTACAAGAAAAAGAATCGGGATAGGTAACTTAAAGTCTTTAGGGACTTGTCAGAAATTAGCAGGGGGGGAGGGGGGGTGGGAATTTTAAATTTGGGTTCGGAAATTAGGTGACCCATCCATCCAATGGGCGTGAAATTTGCTAACCCTCCCCTGGAGCTTGGCCTAAAATATCATTCTCTTGTGTTGAGATACTCTTTCAGTTATTTTATATTTTTCTCAATTTTGTTTTTTTTTGTCTTTCATAATGGCTAAATTTGGCCAAATTTGGCTAGTCATTTCCGTATCACTTCGCCCCCCTTTTTCGTGTGCAAAGAAAGTATATTCGAACTTACAAGAAAAAGAATCGGGATAGGTAACTTAAAGTCTTTAGGGACTTGTCAGAAATTAGCAGGGGGGGAGGGGGGGTGGGAATTTTAAATTTGGGTTCGGAAATTAGGTGACCCATCCATCCAATGGGCGTGAAATTTGCTAACCCTCCCCTGGAGCTTGGCCTAAAATATCAT